CCTCTATATATCTTCTCACACAAATTCTTACACTCACACCGACCCTGTATGTGGTTCATCGATTAGTTATTATAAGAACAAGTTGTTAGAATACATTAAATTCCTTTGACAGATAACAATACAATATTTTCCTTATCTTCTAATTAAACTTCGTGATAAGTAAACTGTTAACTTCATGCCAACTCTATATTATACTTCACACTGCACACGGTACACACTACATAGTTAATGGTTGCCTTGTTGTGGAATGTTATAAAAGTATTAATCACCATCAAAAATGTGACTGCTCTGATGAAATTACTCCAATAACCGAAATCACTTATATTCACTGATATTTTTATGTGCCTGTTCTTGTCATACGTTGATTCACGATGTCAATCCTTCGCAGCTCGGTGAGGCACAGTGGTGCATCTCGCCGAGCAACCGAAGGTTGCGAGAAGCATTATTTGATGCGCGCGCGACCCAGTAGTGCATCGCGCTACAAGTCATACGTTGTATGACCCGCCGCGCACGAAGTGCGCGGCTCCCCCTGTAGCGTCGAAACGACCGTGGGGGTCGCAACGTGATACAAGCCTGTTCATAGTAGCTAGATCAGCTAGGTGCGCTGATCTGAGCGCGCTCAAAAAAGCAAATTGGGGACACGTTTTTGTTGTTTTTTGATAGTCGCGAGTAAAATTTACTTTTTAAAAACTTTTGACGAGGTGTTAGAAGCCATCTTAAGGTCTAAAGAGATGAAATCTTGACTAGCACCTACCTGAAAGGCTTTTATCCAACGGGTTTTTCTCAGATTTTTGATATCTCACTTCCTTTTTCCACAGGTGACCGAAACGTACACGTCATTCTGGACTGCATGCGACTACTCTCGTTACTGAAAGAGGTGCTGTGCGACACACGATTATCCTAGGATGATGAGAGTTAGTTTCTGGGAAAGCCCTAACGATGCTTTAAAACGATAGGGGCTGAAAATATTATCAATTATTGAAAACGTGTCCCCAGGACTTCGTGAAGTCGCGAGATTCGATACCCGTAAAATAATTGTCGCAAACTACTAGCAAAAACGTGTCCCCACGCGCCAGGGTGTTAAATATTATTGCAAATTTATTATGCATGCAACGCAAATTGATTTATTATGCCGCGCGTAATGTTTGCGCGATGATACGCATAAAAAGAAGTTTGTCTTTCGCGTTCAAAGTTATCACAATTTGTGACCTGACAGCACGATAAAATGCCAGTCAAACGGTATGCGAGTCTAAGGTTAGAATTTTAAAAACAAAGAGGGAATGGACGTGGTTAATCTTTGAAAAATATCAAAGGTATTTTCCCAAGACAGCTGTAGATATAATAAGCCATGGCTGCTAATCGTAAGCAATGGTCGAGCATTTTCTAGAATAATAAAAACATCCATATCCGGTGCACTGGCCAGGATGACATATACTTCGTGTCTATAAGGTTACAAGCTACAATGACGTAATGCATAGACGTTATGCGTTTCGCAAGGACGGTCACCATTGATCTATAATGACAGAATACAATTTGTTCGCCATTTTCGCTACTGATAGTGATGGTGAATTAGAAAAAATTGCCATTTCATTTTAATGTAATGTTGAAAATAGCTATTTGGAATACAGCCCCAAACTTGAAAAAGATTGCAAGCAGGTTTAAAGATAGGAAAACTAAACTGAAGTGGGGTGGCTACTCAGCAAAGTTATTGTTGGCAAGCAAAGGAAGAGGAGGCTGGGGAGACAATTTGTATGAGATTTAGACTTGATTATTTTGCAGTTTTCTTATTCTACTTTAGCTTACAGTAAATTTATAGTGACAAGAGACAAGAGAGCTGCATCAAACGTATTGCCAGCCAGAGTCTGAAACAGCAAGTATCTTAAATACAGTTTTATTCCAAGAGATCAGAGATTAAAATTTAGTAGTGGGCTTAAACAGCAGGAAACAGCATTGAGAACCTTAAGTTAAATTTCTAATTGCTTAGTTGGGAAATTAGCAGGCCGTTCTAGTCTAGTAGGCCACGCTCTAAGTCTACTGTAATTTACACCTCACATACGATTCCTTTGCTGTAATGATGATTACAGTACTTATCGACTGCAGTAACAAGCCTCGGTGAATGTTTCAACATTTGTATGAAATTTAATGAAACTAGATGAGTAAGAAACTATCGGAAGGTTTATCCAACAATAGCAAGTTAAATAGTTTTTCAAAACCGAGCTTAAGTACTCATAAATTTCACAGCAAAGCGAAATGCAAAGTTAAATGTTGGACGTACGTATTTATATATAAATAAAATTTGACAAGTAGCTTGTTCAGCATGTACATTGTACATTTTCATGTAGGATTGCAGGGTCAGCAGAATTATACTATACAAACATTTTAAAGCTATGGTGTTTAGTGCCCTATTATGGTGTCTACTCATCTATTATTAAATAGCCAAGTATGAAAGGTAACATAATAGCAACATGGTAGTAAATATGATACATAGTTAATTTGTCTTATATTTATCTTATATTCGTCTATTTGAGATGCTCAAACCCCATCTTTACGTACTGCAACAGCTCATAAAATGTGGAATATGACATAAAGGAATAATGCATCTGAGTAGCTAGGGCAAATTTTTTGATTTTGCCATTCACACCCTTTTGTAAAAAGGCAATAATGAAAGGTTACGAATGGACGTTTTTGCAAAAAACGTGGATTTTGGAGATTGCGGTAGGTGGTTTTAGATTTCGTGTTCGTTCGTCACACTTTACCATGGCAAATAGACAACTAGACGCACAAGGGTTGTTTGCGGAGATGTGATGTACATTAAAGACAATAGCCTATAGTCAGCATGCATGCGCGGCACAAGTGTATAAGTATTTCAATGTATTAGGCTATAAGCCCAATTTGTATGTGATACGCGTAGTGAAACATTTTAATTATTATTATCACTTCGAGATGGCCAGGCCTACTCTCATAGCCTCATGGCAATTGATCGGTGTAGTTGGTGTTGTACACACTGCACTGATAACGATATCACGTTGTACGTGTAATGTAAATATAGTGTGGATAAATGCGAATATATATTCTAAATAACTGATAAATGATACGCGTAGTGTACTGAATACTGATGTGTACAATTATAAAACATGAGTATAGTTCACTTTTTGGTTACAATTTCTTGAATTACAGATAAAAGCTAAGTTCTACGGCTATTGAATTGAGTCACAAGTTTTCCCTATTAAAGCGTATAATGTTCGTGTTATGAAGTGAGCTGATTAGAGCTTGTAGTGAATGGAAATCTAGCGTCCGCCACAACGAAACAACGGACGCAATTCTTGTTAGGTCAAGTGTATTTTGATAGTTTAAACACAATGTACTACACAATGTACTATATATACAATGTACTACAATTTGACTCGACCCAAATGTTCTATTAAAACCTACAAAGTGTAAAAATAAACATTCTTTCGAACGCCAAAAAATAACATAATTTTTATCTAATAAGGAGTATTTCTCGAGTAAGTGATGATAGTAAATGATACCAGAAAGAAATATATAAATCGGGCACCTTATGTCTGAGTTGTAATCCCAAACGTTCGGATAGTGGGCCCCAAAAGTAGTATAATTAGCTGCAACTATGACACTATTTGATAAATCCTGTATTGTCGAAGAAAATGTCAATAATGTGAGTTGTGTGAGACGAAATTATTTATAGCTACAGATTGTTGCTTCCAGATGGTGGGCGATAGCTGGTTTCATGGCTCACTAAACAACATTAAATTGTAGCATATCATATTATTCTTAAGAAAGAAGTTTAGAATGACCTAGTGACCTCAGTCTCTACTGATTACAACCAGAAAGAACAGTAATCGTGGAAAACATCCAGAACTTTCCCAGCCGGAGAAACACACTGTGAACATGTCTGAACATGTATGGCGTGCTATTTAGCTTAGATAATAGAGTATCGGTACTTAACAGATCCTTCGGCCATCAAACGTGAACTATGGATAAATAACAATACAAATATGCAATGATAAAACAGTCATTTTAAAGATTCATTGTGACTCTCAGTTTGACCACTACATATTGAGTCAGCAAGCCATAAGCTCAAGCAGTATAATTAGTACATAACAGTGATGATAACAAGCTTCAAAGTACACATGGAAACGTAATTAATCTCGACAGCCAACATACAGTATAACAGAGAGAGGGATAAATCTGTTACACCATTCAATATGGGTAATTAGTAATTACAACTCATAGGTCTGCATAGGCTTATGAGGTTCAAATAAATTCTCTGATGCATAAAAGGTTATACTCAGACTAAACTTATGTAACTTATGTAAATTATGATATTAATTGTGTTAGATGACGTTCTCTAGGATGTATTATCATAATAAGTACAATTGAAAAAAAAGGTATAGAAAAGTTAGGTAAGACTGTCAGATGGATTATGTATGTCAAATAAAAGCCATTATATTGTACAATACAGTTAAGCTTTTATACCTATTTTGAATTCAGTTAATGAACTAATGAACTCTGTTCTCATCAACCATGATTCATGACTTGCTCTTTATCTATAAATTTATTGACTTATTACCTATTACCCTGGCCCTGAACTCTGATTATGCCAATTAGTTTAGTCATTATGCGTATGTAAGTATTTATCCCCAATTGATAATGTACTTCCATATGAATCCCAGCGATAAACATAAGGCTTAATGAATTCCTGTTGTCTCTTTCTGGTAAGCTCCTTCTAATTTGGAAAATATTTCGTTTAGAAATAATGAGACGACCAAATGCAGAACTAATCTATCGAATTATAATTATATCCACATAGACTCCACACTCAAAACAAGATGTGACATCCTCGGGCAAACATCCTCAAATTATTTGTCATTATTGTAACGGTATATTAGAACCAGACAGAAACAAAGTGTGAAGGGCCTGATCGGAACCCCTCGGTTTCAGTTCCTTGTTTGACACTGCCGTACAGCGATTAGGACATTCACCGAGTTCGCCAAGGCTGGGCACATAGCTCACTCCACAAGATGCTCTGTCATATTATAGTGTTGAAAGTATTAAAACTCTAATCCTTCTAATAATGATCCTTCTAATTCTCTGTAGTGTCAGGACTTTGCTCTGGGGTGTTCAGAAGATCTTATGGGCATGTTAACTCCTATAAAAACTCGGCAGTATCCAAGAAGCTCGACCCAGTCCGTGCACCAGTTTGCAGAATACTTATTTCATGATGGTTCATGGTAAGCAGATCATATGAATAGTATCTTGGATGCAATTAGTTACGACTAGCATTAATTAAAATACTGGTATATCCTGCTATGCATACGACCTATATGACCATTTTATAATTTATTCCTCCTCAATTTGTCCCCTCCATATGTAAAAGCCAAAAGGGTAAGGGTAAGGGTAAGGGTAAGGGTAAGGGTAAGGTAATGGTAAGGGTAAGGGTAAGGGTAAGGGTAAGGGTAAGGGTAAGGGTAAGGGTAATGGTAAGGGTAAGGCTAAGGGTAAGGGTAAGGGTAAGGGTAAGGGTAAGGGTAAGGGTAAGGGTAAGGGTAAGGGTATGTGTAAGGGTAAGGGTAAGGGTAAGGGTAAGGGTAAGGGTAAGGGTAAGGGTAAGGGTAAGGGTAAGGGTAAGGGTAAGGGTAAGGGTAAGGGTAAGGGTAAGGGTAAGGGTAAGGGTAAGGGTAAGGGTAAGGGTAAGGGTAAGGGTAAGGGTAAGGGTAAGGGCACAACGTAAGGCTTGAAATCTTCATATAATCATCATAGTTGTAATTGTAACAAAAGCAAAATTTGATCAGTCAAAATTCCTAGCACTATTTTAGGAATTATCTCTGGTGTACGACAGGGTAATGTCAGCTAGTATTCTCATGAACCTCTGATCGAAGAGAATATTGCGTTGAAGATCTACACCAACTCAAAGAAGATCTGATGAGGAGTGGCCACAAGGAAGATATGCTGGAGGAAATGGAACCGAAAGCTGTCCTTCGAGCAATAGAGAACGAACTCTATAGTGACAGCAAGACCCCGAAAGCGAAAACGGACAAGGTTGTTTTCTCGGTCAAGTTCTTCGAGGAAGTGAGTGAGTTCAGAAAACTGAGAGGATCTCTTCGAGAGGACATTGAACACCTCTGTGGAGAGTTGGAATACATGCAGCCACCTCTAGCTTGAAAAATGGGAGGGCTAATGGTCCCGATGAAATACCCAACGAGCTAATTAAGTACTCTAATAGTACAGTTCATGAACATTATGCTGGAATCATCAACAGTTGTTTCGAGACACATACTTTCCCCATTTCCATTGGAGAGGCTACTATAACACCCTTACAGAAGCCTAAAAAACATATTGGTCCTCTGAAGAATTTACGTCCACTCACCTTGTCCAATGCAGCCAGAAAAATTCTGTCTATGGCTACTCTTAAAAGGATAGAAGAAAAAGTGAACGCCTTCACTGGTCCATGGCAGTGTGCATATAAACGTGCTCGTTCTTGTGCTGATATTGTTTAGTGTCAGCGAGTTCTACTGTCAGTTGTCCAAAGGAAGAATTCTCATTATCGCTAATGTCCCCTCCATTATCATTATTGATATCCCACTCAGTTAAACAAAAATTCAGCTAAACAAAAATTCAATTTTATGCCATTTATTACAGAGTAAACAAGTTAACAATAAATCAATTTGATATTTAAAGGAATCCTAATTCAATGTGTAGTATGGTTGTCACTCTTTAAATAGATTAGATATAGGTTGACGGGGCAAAGGAGTGTGCGTGCTGTTCGCTATTGCTCACACCAAACGGCAACCTAGTAAATGTTTTGTATGGACACCGGTCTCCATCACGATACAAAATTAGGATTGTAGAATTTATTGTATAACTTTTAGCGCAGTGAAGGGAGCGGTGTGGTGCATTAATAGAGTGACAGCCTACTGATTTAGAGTTGTTTTTAAGTGAGCATAATGGGTATATTTTTGGACCTAAAGGCTTTACTATGGCAACTTTAAAATTGGTTCTTTTAATCATTTATTAAATATCACTTTAAAAATATATAAATCGGGAATCTGTTCACACTGTGAACCAGTCCTATATAAAAAACCCTCTTAAATTAAATACTAAAAACGTCTCAATAATGGAAATAGTCATACAATTAAGAAATTTACCAAATTCTTAATATCTACCTTAAGAGAAAAATACCTACCTAAGTCAATGTCTACCTGTAATACACTAAATATTAGGTTAAATACATAGGTGGTGGAGTCAGCACACATTTACCAAAATCAAAATTTTTTAATAGGAGGAACCTATGGGCCGAGAACACTTTACACTGGATTAAATTTGTTGAAGGGGATTGTTTTCAAATGACAGCTGCATTATGTCATAATCACTTGAAGTCCATGCTGAATCATTATAAGCATGTTGCAGCTTTAGAAGTGCCTTTTTCAGGCGACTTTTAGCAAGGCTAATCTTGCTGCTGACCGTCAAATTCGAAGTCGTATTGTTGTCTTAACAAGACTTTCATTTTGTCCGCTAGTGGGGCTACTGCTCTGAAGGTCAGCCGGAGCTTGATTTCCTGCCCACCGCTTGGTATTGGGGAACGTCTTGGCTGTGCATCTTCAACTGCTCTAGTAATCAATCCACCGTGGACAATGAAATAGTGGCACAGTTTACTCACTTCTAGCGGGATGTGGCCACAAGTTACTTTAACGGGAAAAACTCCCATTTTCTTTAGTCTACACACTGCACACGAGAAGCGATCAATCTTTAGCGACTCAGCTGATGTCTCTCGCTCCACTGTTACTTAGCGGGTGAAACTCTTAAAATATTTGTTTCAAAGGACCGTCGACGAGTCCAACTCGGCGCGCGTCCTGGTAGGTTATAAAGTTACAATGCACTGTTACACGCTCTTCAGGTTCCGCCTTTGTCCAGTCAGTAGCTTTGTAAACACTATCATTTCATTACCCAGCGTGATTTACCGCGCCAGATTAATGAAATGACGCCGCGCTATATCCGTGAACCTACCGTCACTTATATCTTATATTTTATATTTTGTATCTCTTACTACGTAACACGAAATTAAGTTGTATCACACTCCCGGTTTTGGACCCCAATGTTAACCTTGCAGCAACTGTGTCAGCCCAATATACTCTAGAAGTATGATCACACTTATTTTAATGAACAAAAGACCCATAATTAATATAATCAGATACTCGTCAACAGCAGCAGTTTCCGTCCGTGTGATGTGTTGTCCTCCTCCTTTCTGTGTCCCCGTCGTTTTGTTTTGTGAAATGTATTGTAGTAGTGTTTTAATATTTAAATCGAACGCAACTCAATAGTTAATAATAACAAACACAAATACTATTTCAAATAATTGATTAATATCGATTTATACGAACCAAACATTAATTATTTCTTAATAACCTTTTATATATGTGTTAAACGATCCAGGGCATATCTAAAATTCGATAATGAACTTCATATATTATTAGTGCCGCGTGCTGATAAATATTCTGGGAATCAATCCACCCAATCGTGGCGATAACATATTTTTGTGCTTGGCCGGTTTTAGGTTTGAGTTTGTGCTCCAAAAGTGGTAAATCGGGTGCTAGTAAAGCTCTTGCAGGCAACTGGCTCCTTTTGCCAACTGCTTTTGGTTTAAGCGCTGACTCACATTTGGAACTGGCACTGGTATAATTGTAATATCCTACGAAGTCAGCATGCTATATTATTTTGCAAAACTCGTTTAATATCTTGACAATATTTAAAGTTTATGGATTTAGGTTTAGGCGCGGCGCACCGCTTATATGTTATAGCTCATTCAGCTTCTGTTTTCAGCGATGTGTTGCTACACACTGTATAGCATGTGGATCAAGCGCGGTGCCGCGCCTAAGCAGCAAAAGAGTTATTTATTTTAAAATTTATTTTTGTATCTCAAAAATGATGTAAAGTTTTTAATATGACGTAGAATTAAAGCTATTTCCGTACAGCCTAAGTGCTAAGCATGCTCGTTAGAAAAACTATGAACAATGAACATAACATGCTAGCTTTCTTTATTTTTGTAAGTCGCGTCGGCTGACATCTTGGGTTGTACTGGATGTAACAAGTTTATTATCGGATGTCTACTTATATTTATTATGATATCATTATTCATTGTAATGGCAATAAAATTTAAATTTTGTTTTACAAAAAAAAAAAAAAAAACATGAAATCCTCGAGATGCGATCGCAGCCGCAAATTCCAGGGAAAGATTAGACTTGGGCGTTGTTTTTTTAACTATCCCTTGTTTAGAACTTTGATTTAATAACAAAAAATACTATTAGCTTCCTCCCTGTGACCACGGGTTTTCTAGTATTATACAGGGTGGGCCAAAAGTCAGTACCCATACGTTGGCCTTTATAGCTCAGTCACTGAGTGCCCAATTGAAATAATTCTTTCTGGTATAACTTAGTACCACCACTGGTTCGAGGAATTTGTCAAATCGAAAAATATTCGTGTTCATTTTTTTCAAATGAAGATTCATTTTCGCATTTCTTTGATAATTTGGATAGTCGGATCGAGCTAAATTTTATTGAATTGTTTTTGGCCATTCGAATTACGTCTGTCCTGAAAAAATTAGATTTATAGCTTCTCAGATGACCGAGATACGAAGCATAACAAGTTTATTTAATTCATAACGTGTGATCAGGTGATTGGCTTACCTAATCACGTGATAAGGTGACCCCGTTAACTACCACGTTAAACTTTATGGGGATCGTTAAGGCTGCCCAATTAAGGTGTCATGTCACGGTGTCACATAATCACCCAATCAATTTTGCTAACGAGATACACAAATCGCTTGATAACTTCGTCATTTCTAATCCGTTTCACATCATTTTTTCAGATCAGATGCAAAATATAATAATCTACTGTCTCAAAAATAATTAGGCGTCCAACATGTTCAGAGAGAACAATATAGGTGTTTTAATATTGAATGGGCGTGGTCTAAAATATTCGAATTTTCAAATTTTGGCGTCGGAATCCTCGAACAAGTAGGTACAGTATGCCATCTGAAAAGCAAAAACTCTCAATTATAAAAGGC